TACACGATCAAGCTTATGTCAAACGTAAAAACAAAAAAATTGCGAAACTCTTTAGGTACTTTCAGTCCATTCCATGTTTCTCTTCAGTACACTTAACTGTCTCACAACTACCATCTAACTCTCAATAAGCTATTTTTTATATAACTTTCCGTATAAGCCGCTGGCATCAGCTATCGCCTTCGCAGTTTGCTTGGCGAAATGTTCTACTTCGTGAAAAATATAGTTCGTTTTTCCTGTATATTTTTTCACAGTATTATTAAAGATTGCATTATTAAACACAATATTATTATTAAAAGTATTATTAAACACAATATTATTAAAAAATTATTAAAGTGAACAAACATATATTTGAAATGTGATTTTTTTCCGGATACAACGTTTATAATTCTTCATGTCTTAAGCAAGAGTATTTCCAAAGCTGAAAGTCCCGTTCTCGCTTCTGCCATCAGGGAGATTGAGATGCATACAAGAAAAAAGGAATGAGGAAGACAGTAAAAGAACGAAAGAAAGAAATCTAAACAGTAGGTAGATGAAATTAAGCAAAAAATGTGTGTGGCATTTTGAAATGTAAATTATTTCCTCGTGTTTGTCACTGTTTATAGTTTTTAACCAAAGGAAGTGGGACTTTTCAGCACTAAAAATAGCACAAATTTTTACTACTGATGTTAAGAGAAGGCAGTGATACGACGAATGAAATAAGAAAAGGAAAGTTCTAAATGTAATGTGACAGAGGAAAAGGAAAATAAGAAAAATATTGCGTTGATTGAGAAGGAATCACTCGGCAGTTTTGCTTTCATTATCAGGAAAGTACGTTTGCAAGAAACATGAATGGCGTTATTTTGTATTTTGAATCTGTCATATTAATGGGAGATAGAGGGGGGGGGGAGGGAAGAAGAGATAAACAGATGAACAAAGCGAGGGAGGGAAGGTGAGACAGATAGAGAAAGATAAATAAATAGACAAATAGAGAAAGGTTAATAAATAGACAGATATAGACATACTGTATAGGGTTTTGGTGGTAGTTTCCCTCTCCATTAGGTGTATTTTTGTTTTTTTGTGTGTGCGTTTGCGTGCGTATGTGTGTGGCGGGGTCGAGTGAGCCATTTTTTTGCTTCAACTGAACCACGAATCCGACATATGACTCCGATCTCCACACCTGTGTGCTTGTAAGGTGTCATACATCTGTTCTGAGATGTTTCCATATATTCAATTTATGGCACCATGAATGTTAACATTATTCTTGTTTTGTACAGTTATGTGTATATAGAATATTTCTGAATTAAGAAAGTGGAACTATGTTACGGCCTCCATTTTTGCTTGGTATTACGGTTGTCCTGGGGGCGGATTCTCAAACGGTTTAAGGCGCCATATCTCCTTAAGGCGCCTTAATTTACGGCCGAGCGACCTTACGCCCCATACGCCGAACAAGGGACCGGCCATATTGGTGCGAGTTAAGACGCCTTAGGTCAAGGCAAGGGGAGAGCAGCCTTTGGCACTTGACGGCGGGCGGGAAATCAACACTCCTCGGTAGATATAATATAAAATAAATATAAATATAAATAGATAAATAATAAATAGATGAATATATATATAGATATAAATAGATAAATATAATATAAATATAATATAATAATATAATATTAATATAAATATAAATAGATAAATATAAATAAATAGATAAATAAATATAAATAGAGCGGGACGGCTAAGGCATCCAGCGCGCCTAACTCCAGGCTCCTTTGAGATTCCGGCCCCCGGTGTGACACGGCTGCCCCGGAGGTTTTCACCACTCAGACAGTTTCTTTATATATTTGTGAATGTATTGATGAAACAACTTATTTATCTTCTCCTTAAATCAGTTAATTACCCAAGGGTCATATACTTACATCAAATTAAAAGAACCCCTGACACATTTACAGAAAGATTGATATAAATAGACAAAGAGAAAGAGATAGGGAGGGAAGGATGAAGAGAGAGAGAGGGAAAGGGAAATTGGCATAGGTAGATTGATAGGTTAATAGACAGAGAGGGAGGAAGGGAAGAAGACAGATATAGAGATTAATAGACAAAAGGATACATAGACAGATAAAAAGATAGATGGCTAGACAGACAGATAGAGAAGGGGAGTGAGGGAATGAGTAAAGGGAGAATTAAAAAGATAAGTTGAGACACACTGATGCCAGGCATGTCTAAAGATGGAAAACATGTTCATCAAGCAAAATTCTAACCATGGCTTGAAAAGTTTTTCTTTAGTTACCCATTTTCTATTATTTACATTTGTTAATTGCCTCAGAGATGGGTTTTGACACGGCGTTCCAGTTTGCTAATTATATTAGTTCCTATTTTCTTCTTTTTTTTTTCTTTCTTTCTGTAAAAAGAAAAAATATATATAAAAACTAGGCATTACACTGATTCTAGCATTCTTTGTTTGATTTATAAAATGTTCTTTTTGGCTCATGCACCCATCATACAATACATGATCGTCGTAATAGGCAAGATACAGGAAGACGTCGCTCATAAGACTGACTGAAAGCTTGGCGAGAAGCCACCATTTCCAATTATGCATTTCATGTTTGTTTGTTTTTTGTTTTTCGTTTTGCCTGTCGTGTCGTTTATCATTTGATTTGTAAATGTTATATGGAATGCAATCTGACTTTAAGACAACTGGTAAATGCCAAGTGTTTTTTATTACAAATACACGACTCGAAATCTACCTCATAATCATGATCTATCAAGTTAACACAATCGGAATAAGCTCGATCTTGAGGCAGTCGATCTCTGCGAACTGTTGCAATGGCAGGTGTGTCTCGGAACTACAGGAAGACGTCGCTCATAAGACTGACTGAAAGCTTGGCGAGAAGCCACCATTTCCAATTATGCATTTCATGCATAAACTGGTGTACATTGTCCATGGTATAGGGGTCGACTACCTTTTGAACATAGTGTACCAGTTGATAATTAATGTCCTCTTATTCATAACCTTGCGTGTCATTTTCTCAATACTGTATTCCCAAATGTATTTCCCTGTCCATGCATAACATAAATGTAATATTTTTGTAGCATTTAGTATTCTTTGTAACAAGAAACGTGTATGTTTTATAATTTTCGTTGTAAACTCATCGTATTAATATCTGGACACACCGTTGTCAGCCTGATAATGGGTGCTGAGAGTATGGCCATAATAATCTCTCTTTCTCTCTCTCTCTCTCTCTCTCTCTCTCTCTCTCTCTCTCTCTCTCTCTATCTATCTATCTATCTATCTATCTATCTATCTATCTATCTATCTATCTCTCTCTCTCTCTCTCTCTCTCTCTCTCTCTCTCTCTCTCTCATATCATTTTGTTATTTAACTTTTTTCTTCGCTCCTCTGAATCACATGTCGTGCTATAGACAAGCGTTCTACATGCCAAGACTGGCACTCGTGCCAACGGCTACCGACCTCTGGTATAGGGTAAGCCGGGGCACAAAGTTACACTGGGTAAATTGTTCCAGCTCAATATCCCGACGGTGCGTGTGTACATCCCTTCTTATTTTATGCGCTCTGTTACACTTCCTTCACTACTGTGTGCGAATCCAGCATCCACCCAGTACTAATAAAGAAAAGTCGATAAAAAGAAAGTATAGACCAAGTACAAATTCTGAAGTCCTATTTTTTTCATAAACGTCCCCCCCCCTCGCATCGAAACCAACGTGTTATCTTAATCAACAGTTTGTATTTGTCCTTTCAAACACGTGGTCTCCTCGCCATTGCATGACCGTGAGATTTTATTGCACGTCATATTTTGGAGGTTGCTAGCGGGCAGCGTTGTTAGTGTAACCTGTTTCGGAAAGAAAAACATTCATAATTTTTGTTATTCTTATTATCAATATCATTTTTATCATTATCATTATTATCATAATTATTTTTATTGTTGTTATTGTTATTTTCATCATCATTAGTATTAGTGTTAGTATTAGTATTGCTTTCGTTGTTATTAATATTTTCGATATCATTATTATCATCATTATTATCATTGTTATCATTATCACTGTTATTATTATCATTATCACCATTAACATTTTCATTTATATTCTGCATCTTATTCTTATTCATTCTTTTCATTTTCTTACTAATATCATTATCATCATTATGTTCATTTCTATTACCATTATCATTATTATTATTATCACTATCATTATCATTATCTTATCATTATTATCATTTTATTATCATTATCATCATCATCATTATTGTTAGCATTATGATTTTCATTATCAACATCATCATCATTGTTTTTATTATTATTATTATTATCATCATTGTTATTATTACCGCTATTAGCATTCCCATTATCATTATTATTATCATTATCATCATTTCCGTCCTCATTCTCATGTTTATGAAAGTCGTTATCATTATCATAGCGATAATTAGCAAGGAGGGTTAATGACACACATTCAAAAGGCTATATTTTCATTTTCTCTTTCTCTTTATAGATTTCATTTCCACTCAGGGGAAATTTTTGATATTTGCTCCTCCATAAACTTTCCCCGTGGGTTGTTAGTCGAATTTCACGCTAAATACTTTCCTTGTGATTATTAATGTCATCGTAATTTTAATTATTTGTAAGATGATGATCACTTTTTTTCTCTCTCTTCTTCATCATTATTTCAATGTATCGGTATCATTAATTTATTAGCAATGGAAGCATATATAGCATCAAAATTATGGCTCATCATTATCATTATCATTTTTACTTTTGTTGTTTTATATTATCATTATACTCACAGTGTCACTAATGATATTGTTGTAATATTTATATACTTACAAGTGATATTTTCATGTCAACAATGACGCCAGTAACGATATTTTTGAAAAGTCATAGAAAAAAATTTACAATTCGTTGAACTTCCGCTTGATTTCGATTCATGTGAGATTTGTATTGAAAATTACTGGAAAGAGCCTTTGTTAAATGTCTAATGCAACCTGATTCATGACTGTGTTTTAGGTCTTCTTTCCAGTCACTTCGTCAGAAAAGATTCAATGCGTGTTCTGCCGTTGTTCTGTGTTGCGCGAAGTCAGCCTCAGTGAGTCCGTCATGTTTCTCGGATCTGTCAAAGGATGGGAAGCATATCCTGCATATATACAAGGAAATGTATACGTAGAGATATAGCTATAGATAGATACACAGGTAAAAAAGGAGTAAGAGAGAGATGAATATATGAATAGATATATGTACAAACGTACGTGCGCGCGTGTGTGTGTGTTCGTGTATTTAAGCCGTATGTGTGTATGTTTGATGAAATTAATACACATTCACTTCCATGTATGTATTTAGTCTGCACACATGGGTCAAGACGTACGTTTTCATTGTAGAAGGGAAGGGGGGGGCAGGGAACCAGAGAGCCGTATCACCTACTTGCGATTTACCATATACAGTATCAGCAATAAAGTTCTTAGTCTTATACAAGTTATAAAATAAAGTATCTAACTTTACGAAAAACTAGACCAATTATTTGTTTTATATGTTAAAAAAAAAAAAATCAATTTTGTAACATTTTGTTGTGCCGGTCAAGTTCTTTTTCTAATGGAGAATACAAAAGACTGTTTTGTGAGACTGTGGTGTGCACCGTATTCATGTTGACAAATGTAGAAAAGGTATGAATGAGAATGAACATCTCCAGGTGAGGTGTGCCTTCCTCACAAGCACCCAGAAGTGGTCAGGGATTGCCACAAATATTAGGGAGTGAAATGTCCAGCCCTGGTGAAATCTCTGGTAAGATTTAATTATCAATTTTCAATCTTTGTGATTATTGTTTATCATTGTATGGGAAGTAAATATGTATTAGATATTTATTTTATAATGCTTCTTTAGACTTTCGTATTTTGTTGCTCCGCAGCAGTATTTCATACGGATATTATAGTAATGAAATTTAGACTGATAAATGAGCGAGAGAGTGAGATGGAAAGAGAGAGAGTGTGTAAATGTGTGAGTGAGGTGCAGAGTGAAATAAAAAGAAACGGGATGGGTGTGTTATCATTAGGAACTAAAGCCGACGGGGGCGCATAATCGCGTCCACCCTTTGTTCCCACATTTTGGGATCCCTCATGGCAAGCCGCCAGGCAGGGACTTGGCCCATATCGAGCTTCTCACGACAGGTTTGATCGATCTGCCCAAGCCACGACCTCCTAGGTCGTCCCACAGGCCTCCTCCACCCACGGTTGCCTCTTACAGAGACAACTTGGTGGGCAGGACCATCCTGTGGGGAGCGAGCCAGGTGGACATATAGCCTGAGTTGGCGATCACGGATTATGCAGGTAACAGGTCCTGTGCCAGTCTCATGGTGCAACCAACGGTTGCACACATGGTCCTGCCAACAGGACCCCATGATCCGGTGCAAGGACCTATTACTAAAGGCATCAAGACGAGACTCTAAGGCACAGGATAATGTCCAGGTTTCACTACCGTAGAGCAAAACTGGCATTATCAGGGCCTTGAAAGCCCATAGCTTGGTCCTTCTGCACAGGTACCGGCATCTCTAAATACTCTTGTCGAGAGAGTTCATGACCCTTGCTGCCAGGCCAATCCGTCTGGTGACTTCCTGGTCTGACAGCCAAGAGTTATGATCTACACTACCAAGGTATGTAAAACTCTCTGTGACTTCAATGTCTTCGCCGCATGCACGTACCGACCGAACAGATTCTCCTAGTAAGTCCCCAAAGTCCTGGATCTTGATCTTGTTCCAGGAGACCCAAGGGCTTCGCTCCATTATTAAATGCATTCAGAGCCACTGCTAGGGTTTCCAAAGACTCAGATAGAACAGCAACGTCATCAGCAAAGTCAAGGTTTATAACCTTGATGTTGGCCATCGTTGCTCCACAATGACTTTGAACAGTAGCTGTGCCCAGTATCCAGTCCATGCAAGTGTTAAAAAATGTAGGTGCAAGGACACAGCCTTGCCTCACTCCTGACCTAACAGGAAAGAAGCCCGACAGGCTTCCACCACACTTTACAGCACTTTCAGTACCAGTATACAGGCTTGCTATTAATCCAATAATCACAGGATCTCCCAGTGATTCCTGATGCACCGTATCGAACACCTTCTTGAGTTCCATGTAGGCTGCAAGCAGCCCACGCCCGAACTCACAACAGTGCTCAACAATGACTCAAAGTGCAAGGATGCAGTCTATTGTGGTCTTACCAGGAGTGAAACCATATATCTCAGAAGTATGTGGGCAAGAACCTTGCCTGGTATACTGAGCAGTGTGATGCCCTGGTGATTGCTGCAATCCCATCGGCCCCCATTCCCCTTCCAGAGAGGGATGACCACACCCCCCAACAGGTCAGGGGGAACGGTACCGGACCGCCAGATGGCAGCCAGGACAGCATGCAACCCCCACGCCATAGGTTCACCACCAGCTTTTAACAGTTCAGCTGGGATACTGCAAATACCCACTGCTTCGCCACTCTTCAGTGTGGAGATCACCCCCTAACTTCAGTTAAGGAGGGTGGATCCTCGCTGATGGGTAGGTCCGGCAGCAGAATCATGGCACTACTCACATCCAAGTTAACTGTTAGGTTAACCTGATACAACTGCTTAAAATACTCAGCCCAATGCTTCTGCACCACAACAGGATCTGAGACGATCTGACCAGTGAAGAGGGCTTGGAGTTCAGCTTCCTCAGGGCTTGGTATGCAGGACGAAGGTCATTTTCTAAGAAATGGCCTTCGACCTCCTCAGCAAGACTCCTTATAAACTTTTTCTTGTCCCTTCTTTCTTAACAGAGTTCTGCACCTGAGAACAGTGCAGATCCCGATCCCCTGCCAGACGAGCCGCATGGCATGCATCTGTGGCTTCCAGTGTCTCCTGTGAGATTAAATTCTGTCTTACCCTCGGGCGTTCACCAGTCGATTCTTGGGCTGCATCACGCTTGAAGGTGTCCCACAAAAGTACAGAGTCTGTCAGACTGTCAAGTGCTATGAAACGACCAGAGATTGTTTCAGCAAACTCCTAAGCACACTCCCCCTGCTGTAGCCTGTCCAAATGACACACCTTAGGGTGATCATTGGCCCGCTGGGGAGTTTTGAAGTAAAACCGGAGGGTAGCTACAACCATATACACCATATGCACTTCTATACACCCTGCAGTTTTGGAGAATCCTCCAACGAGTGCTAACGAGTATGTGGTTGATCTCATTGGTTGCATTACCCACATCGCTGTACCATGTCCAATGATGTGGGCCTGATCGCTGGTACCAGGAGCCAGAAATACTCAATTTCTGGGAACTTGCAAAGTCTCGGAAAAAGAGGCTATTCTCGCTGCCAGTATCAGCTCCCGAACCATAAAGACAAACAGACATCTCATAGCCAGCTCGATCACAGCCAGATACCGCATTGAAGTCACCCAGAACAATACATATATCTCACTAGGGACAACTGTCTGCCACAATGCAAGTTTGGCATAGAACATCTCTTTCACGTCGATTAAATATACATTAATAGGAGCGTACACAGCAATAAGAGACATGAAGTCAAATGACAGCTTCAGTCTCATTACCATTATATGCTCATCGACTGGAGTAACTTCTACCACCGAGGGCTGGAGCCTACTAGAGATAGCTCTGGCTACTTCCCGAAGATGGTGACCATTGCTGTGGCCTGACCAGTAATAGGTGTAGCAACCTACACTGATCATGCCGCTGCCAGGTCTTCTCACCTCCGAGAGAGCAGCCACCCCAACTCTCAGCCACCCCAGTTCCCTCGATAGTAGAGGCAACTGATCATCCTGACGCAAAGAGCGGATGTTCCAAGCCCCCACCCTGACTTCCCGCCTGAGGTTAACCCTCGGGCAGTCACTCCAGGTGGATGCCACCTCTGCCACCCCCGCCGACGCTGCCCCAGATAAAAGGGGGCAGCAGGCTGTGGGACCCATCATCCACCTGTGGGGTTCCCTAAGGCTTTGCCCCACAAGCTCCATTCCGGGCTGGCGGCTGCCTGAACGCAGGTGGGATGAGGAGCTCCCATTCCCATCCTGCACCCCACTTCTCTTGCTGGGAAGGAGGGGCATTTCGCCTCCCCCCAGCATTTCCAATTATATGTAACGTTGTTGATGGGTGTCTCTAGGGGGAGGAGGACAGGCAAGGCCCACCTCCCCTGAACCTCCCATTAACCCCAGGGGGCTTAGGGGCAGGAGTTGGTGCAGGGCCAGGGTGTGTCCACACGCTGGTGGGCCATGACCCTGTACCTCTGGGGCCTCCTGCTGCTCCGAGATCCCCTACAGTTTAGCCTGGGACCGCAAGGTACCAGTTTTCATAGGTGGCCACGAGGAGGCACTGCAGAAGTCTCGATGATGGAGAGGCTACGCACTGGCAGGGGAGACATGCAGCGCTGCTCCCTTTTTCGTACTAGGCTAGCCAGCAGTGGCAGCAGCAAGAGAGAAGGCATGCAAGCACTTAACACCATCTAGGCTACCACACCATCGCTTCACACCACCCTGCGTATGAAGTACATATGTACAGAGAGAGATAAATTAATGCGTGAGAAAGGAGAATGAGTGAGAGACAGAAAGATATGGCCTCGAGGGAGAGCCAAAAAGCGGGTAAGGTAGTTTAAAGGAAAGTATATGTATTCGTGAGTTGTGTTTATGACTGAGAGTTTAATATGCGAGTAAATGAAAAGAAGGTTAATGTGAAACACACAGAGAGAAAAGTAAATGTATACTTGAAATATTCCAGCTAGGGTACTGAAACCTTGTATATAAATGGATAATTACATTTACTGTGCATACAGTGATGCATTTGTCTGCAAAGCTTTATCTCCCAAACTTGAATACGCTAATGCACGGTAGTCTATACATTGCTCTATGTATTTCATAAGAACAATAAGAGGGTGCTGTATGAGCGTTAAGAATCATTTTCTTAAAGACTGATTATAAAAGGTGACCTACAAGTAGTGACAAGTTATTCAGAATTTTTGTAATGGTAAAACGCAAATAAATGGAGCCTGACGATAGAAGAAGA